TAAATAAATACACACATACATAAATTTCCTGTGGCTAATACTGACAAAAACTTTCTAAGAGAAGGGTACCAAGATTTTTACCTGTTTTCTTCTTCATTTTTAGATAGATGCTATGATATTGTAATAAAATGAGAAATATCTTGGCATTCTGTGAGCCTGAGGCAAGAGGATCACAAGTTCAAGCTCAACCTGGGTACCTCAATAATTTAGCAAGACCTTATCTCAAAATAAAAAAGGGGGGCCACTGGGGATTTAGCTCAGCTGCACAGCGCCTACCTGGCAAGTGCAAGGCTGTGAGTTCCATTCCTGGTATCGGAGAAAAACCAATAAAAAAAAAAAAAAAGAATGGGTTGGGGGGTACAGTTCAGTGTAAAGGTCTTGGGGTCAAATATATATCTCTTCATCCCAGGCTCCTGGCCAGAATTTCAAAAATCTTTATAACTTCCTAAGTGATGAGTGATAGGAATGATCAAGGTATCCCCTTGTTGACCACACCCGTATCTATGTTCACAAGATGAGTTTTTAAATGCCCTGTATGGATGGGGGAGATGGTTGCTAAGAGAACCAACCGTGTGATTAGAGCTGGAACTTTCAACCCTATCCTAGTCCCCTCTGCCCCCAAATTCTGGAGAGGGAAGGAGGATAGAGGTTGAATTTAACCGCCAGTGCCTAAAGAGGTAGTTATACCTACACAATGCAGCCTATTTTTTATGTTGCCTGCATAAAAAAAAAAAAAAAAAGGTTGAGGTTTGGAGGGCTTCTCTGTGCTGCTAAACTTGTGAGGGTGCTGGGAAGCTGCTGTTGCAGAAGAGGGCATGGAAGTTCCACCCCTCCTCCAGGCTTTGCCCTATGCAACTCTTCCATTTACTGTATCCTTTGTAACAAACTGGTTAACACAAGTAAATGTTCTCCTGAGTTTTCCCTGAGCCATTCTAAAAATTATAGGACCCAAGGAAAGGGTGGTTGGAATCCCCAATTTTAGACCAGCTGGAAGTTTGGGAGGTGTACCTATAAGACCAACATCTGATCTATTGCTCTGTGTATTAACCTGTGGGTGTGATACTACCTCGAGGTAGATAGTGTCAGAATTGAATTAATTGTAAAATACCCAGTTGGTAGCTCCAGAGGAATGAATTGCTTGGTATGGAAAGTCTATACATTGACTGTCAGTAGGGTTGGGTGAGAGTATAAAGAGAAGAAAAGATATTCCTATTAGATGGTTTCAAAAAATGAACATGGGAGCTGGGGATTTAGCTCAGCGGCAAAGCGCCTTCCTGGCAAGCACAAGGTCGTGAGTTCTGTTCCTGGTACCGGAGAAAAACCAAACCAAACAAACAAACAAACAAAAAAAATGAACATGGCATGCTCATGTCATACCAGCTAGAGTCAGTTACATCTTCATAATGACTATCTTTCAGGCCAAGTTATGATTTTATATTGAGAAGATTAAACCAGATAACTACATCTAGGGAGTAGAATACACTGATATAATGTTACTTCATAGTTACAAATTACTCATTGAACTTATCATTAACTGTGCAGCACAGTTTTAAATCTTTCCATCCGTTTGATGGACCACCTCTGTCATGGTGTATATTAGATACCTACAACTGTGTGACTTCAGGGCCTCGTTATGAGAGCCTCTATGTAAACTACTCGCACACAGCAACCTCCCTTCAGACCCAGGCCTCCAAGAGGGAGTGACTGAGAATACAGAGAGGGTGGGCAAGACAAAAGCTACTCTGCCTTTTTATAACCTAGTTGTGCAAATGATATCCCATCCTTTTGCAATACTCTGTAAATAGTCCTTATGCCTTGTTACAAGCAAGTCACCAGGGCCAGCCCACATGTAAGGGAAGGGAATCACTGAAATCAACTTAGAAGCTGCCAACCTCACAGCAATGCCATTTGAGACACTGTTTCTCAAACCAACGCTGGGGAAGAACCAACTTTTTTCTTTGATTCCCAATTTATTGTAGGTCAGTATATTGATAAAACAAAATAGAAGAAGTTCACTTCTAGAAAATAAAAATAGAAGCATAAAAAACAAATCCATAGATCACACAATTGGATCTCACAACAATGTCAAATTGCTACAAAAAATTCTAAACATTCTCAATTTTATTACAGTCAGCTTTCCATGTCTGCATCTGCAGATTCAACCACATGTGGACTGAAAGTATTTGACAGGAATTGTGTCTGTATGACTTGTACATACTTTTTTCTTGTCATTAGTGCATAAAAAGCAGGGCATAAGGACTATTTATATAGCACTGACGCTGAACTGGGTATTACAAGTAATCTCGAGATGATTTAAGGTGTATGGGAGAACGTACACAGGTTATGTGCAAACAATACTCCATTTTATACAAGGGACATCTGTAGGTTTTCACATGTGAGGAGAGGCCTGAAACACCCTGCAGGTAGCAAGGGACAACTACACCATCTGGATCAGAAATAGTTTGCAGACTGGTATCAATTTTAAATAATTAAGTAGCACCAGTGTAAGTATTTTATAAATACAGATGACTTTTTTTTGGTACTGGGAATCAAACGCAGGACTTTGTGCTTGCCAGTCAGGGGCTTGTGCCACTAAGCTATATCCACAACTTTTGGAAGCTTTTACAAAACTGATTTGTACATCTCACTTGGCTATTCCTTGGTGGAGGAATTTTAGAAATAAGTCTAAACAGAAATTTCTCATAATCTCACTCCATTCTATATACATGCCTAGAAGTGGGACCTTTTCTTATGACTAAGGTCAAAGGCATATAGGATTAATTATGAGTCTCCAGTTTTTAATATTTTACTGTAGTTTTTTATGTGCTCTCCTTTCTGCCAGTCCATAAGTAACAGAAGCAAGGCACTTTTGAAGGGAACTATGTGATAAATACTATAAATGCATATTTTAAAAATATGAGAGCTGGACACGGTGGCACATACTTGTAATCCCAGCACTTGTGAGGCTGAGGCAGGAGGATTGCTGTGAGTTGAGGCCAGCCAGAAGTGCATAGCAAAACTCTGTCTCGAGAAAAAAAGGAAGCTTGAATGCTCTTCTTGTTCCTAAAATTTTCAGATTTTCCAAAACACATCTCAGGTGTAACCTCCTCATTTCAATTAAAAAAAGGATTTTTTTTTTTTTTTTTTTTAGTATTAACAGTGCCACAAGATTCTGGAAGTTACCATTACAAGAAGGGACTGCCTCCTCCCACTCTCGGTTTATAGCACTTCTTCTTTAAACCTGGAGTCGTTTGCCTGTCAGTATATTGGCATTTGAGTATATCCTTTTTCCCGTTTCTAAATTCTCACAAATTTACATCTATTCTCCTGAATAAACTATAAACTTGCTGAACAAAAGTACTTTCACTCCATACCCTTCACAGCCTTCCACACAGCATCAGCAGTTAGTAGGTCCTCAGCAAGAACCTGAACGTGCAGATATTTACTGAGCCAAAATTTAAAGTCCTCTGTGCAGGGACAAAGTGCTGTGGACATGGTTTCCATCCCAAGTCTTGCCCTGTCGTCATCCTCTTGACCATTAGAGACCCATCCTCCAAGGCTTAAAACAGAAGCAACTTTAAAAGCTCTGTGTCTGTTCCTCTGGCCTCTGCTAAGCAAATCCAAGCTCTTCCTACCACATTAGCTCCAGAAGGGAAAAGAGAAAATCAGGTGGAGGAAGGAGGCTTCGAAAAAAAAGTATTGTTCAACTTCTTACTCAGCTGCCAGCCCTCAGTTAGGCCTCCCCTCCAAACCCCCAGGCCAAGGAACTGAGTAAGGGTTGGTAAAAGCTACATTTCAAGACCTGGTGCTGAGTACTGCGTACGCACAACGTAAACCAAACAGGTTTCTTTCCCTAAAGAATTCACAATGGACATATTAGACCAATCCTCAGCTACTGTAAAATACAAAACAGAGTGGACCAAGGGTTGAGAAGTTGGCAGATGCAGGAAGCACTGTGGGAGAACAGATGGGGAGAGATTAACCCCAGCCAGTGACAATTCAGAGGAGGTAGTTTTGGGGCTAAGCCTTGGAAGATGGGAAATAAAAACAATGGGTAACTGAAAGTGTGTCCTACCTACCCAGTGCTGCTGTTGGTAGTTTACACTTATTATCTCCTCTGCAGGTCACAAAAGGTCTACTGAGAAAGTGTTAGTGTCATTTTACACTAAGGAAACTGAGGCACAGAGAGTAAGCAATTTTCCTAAGGTCCAGTCTAGAAAATAGGGGAGGCTGGATTTGCACACATCCATGGCCTGCCCTCGTCATCCTCGTGCTCTGAACCCTCCTGTAAGGAGCAAAGGCTCAACAAGGGATAGGCTAGCAATCTGCTGAGCATGCCTAGAGAACAGTGATGAGTCTGAGGCTGTGTGTGTGTGTTTGGGGGGGGTGCCAGTGTGAATAATATTGTTCAATCCCAGTGGCAGCTTGGCATTCATATGTCAAATTCTGGATTTTATGTATATTTCATCTGATCTCACCACAGGCCTATTTGACAGATGTTATTATCCCATTTTACAGAAAAGGGAACCGAATTAACTCACCCAGGATCAACACAACTGGTTGGTGGTAGGCTGGGATCTGAGTACAGGGACCAAGCTCCTAAACCCACTTCTAACTCTTACTAGTGTGCTAGTAAGGGATGGCCCAGGTCAGCACTACGCAGGTGCCAAGGACCACTAAATCCCCCAGAAGAACTGCTCCCAGAAAGCTTTGGGTTCCCAGCATAAAGAGGCCCGGGAGCCCCGCCCCGCGCGGCCCCGCCCACGGCGCGGTTTGGGGGAGGGGAGTGAGCGGGACCGGGGGCGGGGCGTGCCGCGCGGGCGGGCTCGGCGTGCAGGTGGCTCCTTCTCTGCCTCGTCCGCACCCCGACAGCGCCAGGCACGGAGCTCGCCGCCGGCGAACGCCTTTGTGCCGGGCTCGGGGAGCCCACGACGACGCTGCACGCCCGGGCGCACCGCTCCGCTTCCCGGCCTCTCAGGTGCCGGCGGCGCGCGGGGTCTGTACGCGCCATCGACGCCGGAGCAGCGCTGGGCCCCGCGGGTGCGGCAGGGGCGGCCCCGGCGCTCGGCGGGAGATGAAGCTCCTGAAGCCGTGGGGGGCGGCGGGCGATGGCCTCCTGCACCTCGCCATCCTGCTGAGCTTGGCCGGGCTCCGGGTAGATCTGGACCTGGACCTGGACCTGGACCTCTACCTCTACCTGCTGCCGCCGCCTTCCCTGCTGCCAGACGAGCTGCTGCCCCCGGGCGGCCCTGCCCGGCCCGCCCACGCGCTCAGCCTCTTCCCAGCCTCGGGCGGGTGGGGGTGCGCCGGGCCCCTGCACCCCAAGGCCCGGGAGCTGGACCCCGCGGCGCCGCTCGAGGGCCACCTGCTCCGGGAGGTGCGCGCGCTGGGGGTCCCCTTCATCCCGCGCACCCGGGTGGACGCGTGGCTGGTGCACGGTGTGGCGGACGGGGACGCGGACCGGACCCACGGGCCGCTGGGCGCCGCTGCTGCCTCGTCCGCCGCGGGGGTCGGCGCCGGTGCGGACGGCGACAGCCAGGCAGCGCCCGGAGGCGGCGGGGAGCCTCAGGACTCGCGCAGTAGCCCTTTGGCAGCCGAGGAGGAGGAGAAGGCAGCCGCGGAGCCCGCGGCGCAGGTGCCGGTCGCTGGAGGACGCGCGAGCCAGGTAACCCGAGAGTGGGACGCGCGCGAGTGTGGCGTCGCTACGCTTGCAGGCCCGGGAGGGCACGCGGGCGCCTCCTGTATCCTTAGTCCCTGGGAGGCCGTAGGACGACTCTGCTCCTCCTTTTTGTGAATCCGAATGAAGGATGTTAGTGCTGTCACTAGGGTTTTTAGGCTGGCGAAGGCGGGGGAGCATTTTTTGCTACTGGGGATAGAACCCAGGGGCTCTGTAACACTGAGCTGCATCTCCAACCCCATTTATTTATTCATTCATTCATTCATCTATTTGTATTTCGAGGCAGTGACTCACTAAGTTGCCCCGACAAGGCTCGAGTATGCGGTTCTCCTGCTTCAGCCTCCTGAGTAGCTAGCTGTACAGCACTACGTTCAGCTTTTTTAGGTTTATGAAAAACAAGTGAATGCATCCGTTTGGGTGTAGACAACACCTTTCCACACTGTATTTGGTAGCTGACAAGAGTGGTTGGGGTGGCGGAGGGATGGTGTTACTTTTCTTGCCTGCTGTCATAGTTCAGTGCCTCGCTGCACTCAGATGTCTCCCCGGAACCTGTGTCGTGCTGGAGGACCGGAGGCGGCCTTGACCTGTTAGAGGAGGCACGCGCCCCTTAGGCTCCCAGCCGAAGGCCTTGTCCCGGGTGTAACCCAGTTAGTTGTCCGTTTCTGCTGCTACCAGCCGCCCTCCCCTAAAACACGCGAGGTTTGGTAGAATGAAAAAGATCGTTCAAAGCTATCTCGGAAATGGAGGGCCGGCTTCACCGCAAATCATCGTCTCAGTGTGTCCAGGTGTGCGTGGGTCTTTATAGTGAGAAACGGGGTGGAGAGGGACTGGGATGAGACAATAGACAACTGTAGGTTTGTTTCATCCCTCCTGGCCCGTTTGCCCTCCCTCCCTTCCCGGTGGACACGAAACAGCGCCCAGACCAGTGGTATCTGCTCATTCTGTCCTTTCCTCTGGGCTGAGGACTGGAGGGGTGGGGAGTGGTTTGCGCACACCTTAGGGCTAGAAGAAGTTTGGAGAAGCCCCTTGTCTACAGAAGAATCCCTTTCTTGGCCCAGTCCTGGGGACTGAACCCGGCACCGCCTGTGTGCTAGGCATGTGCTCTACCACGGAGCTAAATCTCCAGCCCCGAAAGCTTCTAATGTTTAAAGTTCCATTTTCCCTTGCCAGTCGTAGTGCCCACTTCAGGGCCAGTCACGGAAGAAGTTTCACCTCTTAAACCCAAGGGAACTTTGCCACAGGCCACTGGATGGGTATCTGTTTTCTGTATGCTAATAGGGGTTTCTCAGGGTTCCAGTAGGAAGCACTGCTAGGTGCAGGGGATGTTGGGTCCGAGCTTTGTTTGCAACCAAGCTCACCAAGGTCTGAGGATTTAAGTATCTGATGCTTCCCTTTCCAAGACTCTTGTATCCAGGGTTTTTGTCCTGGGAGCGTATAAAACTCCTCCTTGGCCCAAACAAGTGGTGTGGATCTACAAGTGTTCCTGGGCTGTTGTTTTTGTGAAGTGCAGTCTTATGCAAAACGGGAACTGGGGCTAAACTGGTTTGTTTGCAGCTCTTCCGAATCGGAATCGCCCGGTTTGTGTAGGTAGTTGCCTGACGGGCTTCTCCACCCTTTCCTAGAGGGGTCATTGTGTGAAGTGATGGGTGATTCACTGTTATGCTGATCCCTTCCCCCTCCTGGGGACTGAAACCCTAGGGGCTGGTGTTGGTGCTGGTCCAGGTGGTAAGCCCCGCCCCCACCTCTGCTCTCTTGCCGAGCAGGACCCTGTGGGCCCCTCTCACCTGATGCTAGCTACCTGCTGCCCTGTTACCACCTCCTCAGTTCTGTGACTTAACAAGGTTGAAACATTGCTGGATGCTGTATTGTAGCCAGATGGCAGCCTGCTGAATGCCATCCCGCCTGAAAAGCTTACAGGGAGCTTGAGGGAGCAAGGCTGATTGCTCTGAGGACTGCTAGCGTCATCTGGTTGATACCTATTTGGACTGGCAAGGTAGCCTTGGAGGATGCTCTGGGAGCCTGCCCAGCCTGGTCAGGCTTTCCTGGAGGAGACAGTTAAGTTCAGTAAGGGCCATTCTGGTGGTGCTCTCCAGCCGGCGCAGGCATATGCATCTACTGGGATAGCTTGGTTCTGGTCAGTCTGACAGTGATCAACCATGGAGCACTTTAGTATTTTAACAGCTCATTCCCCTTTGTTGGTGATGTCTTATTTACATCAACTCTGTGAGGTGTACAAGGCGGGCATCTCTACATCCAGTTTGTACTTGAGGGAAGTATGTAGAAGCCCACCAAGGTTAGGGGACTTGGCTAGAGGCATACATTATTAAACACCAGAATTGGGACTGGATCCTACCTCTCAGACTAGCATGTTAATTAAGCAACTTGCACTGTACAGCTCAGTCTGCTGGCCTCAGGACAATTGTTCTCTGATGCTGGATTGATTTTTAAAAAGCAGATTGTATATTCTTGTGAAGAAGACCGTGACTTGGGGGGCTGAGTAGACTGACATTAGAGAGGCCTGGGTCAGCCACTCATTAGCGCTGCCTCGCCTCCTGTCTCCCATGTCAAGTGGGAGAGTGATGTTTGCCTTGGAGGATGTTGTACTGATTAAATGGGGAGAGCATTGCCAAGTGCCAGCACAGTGCCTGGATCATAATGCTTCTCTTCCATTGTGCTCCATTCTCAACCCCTTCGCCTGGCCCCATGCTCTTTACTCCTTTCTGGCTTGTCTACAGGTCTGTCTTGGAATTGTTTGTAGTTAATAAGGGTTCAGGTGTATAGGGTTATTGAATCCCAGTTCTTCCACTTACAGCTCTGTGGCCGCGAATGAGTTTCTTAGCTTTGCAGTGCGTCCTTCTTCTCACCTGCACAATGGGAATAAGAAAGGTGCCTGCCTTATAAAGTTAAAAATTCGTTCTATATAAATGGCTTAGCACTGTGCATGTCCTCAGTGCTTAGTAAATGTTAGCTATTGTTAACTTGCTACCCTGTAGGAACCTCGCAGATGGTAGTTTTTTTAAATAGATAACTCCAGCGGCTTATCTTTAAGGTATATGAGGTTCTGGTTTTGTTGTATTATTTTTGTACATGTGGTGAAATACTTTGGAGGAGGGGATTTTCCAAGTATCAAAAGAAGTACTGCTTTGGTTTCACTTCTTAATGGATCTAAACATCTGAAAGAGACTCTGGAATTTCCCAGGGACAACAGCTTGCTTTCATAACCGCCGCCGTTTACTTCAAACCCACGAAGCGCATTTCCTTCATAGTAGAGCATGGGTTAAACCAGGAAATGAACAGTTTTGTAGAAGTGAACGTGTGAACATATTTGAGGATGGGTGGCTGCCTGAAGCCAGTGTCAGGTTTCAGAGCCTTTGCCACTTTGAAACTGAGAGGGTTTGTGGTCATCTTGATGTGGTTTTGTGCCTAGGGCCACTGACCCTCTGCTGGGTGAGAGGTCCCATAAGACCTCTTGATTTACTGCCTGCTGTGCTAGTTTTTTCAGGTCACAGAAAGAATCTGATACAGTAAATATTTAATTTTTACTTAGTTATTTTTGTGGTACTAGGCATTGAACCTAGCGCCTTTCAACTGAGCTCTATATCCCCAGCTTTGTTTTTGTTTGTTTTGATATAGTCACCAAGTTCCCCAAGCTAGGCTCCAGCTTGGATCTCCACAATGCTATAGAGGTTTGTAGCACCATACCTGGCTTCAATATTTAATTCTAAGAGTAAAGGGAAAAGAGAGAAGGTCCTTGGATGGTTTTTCTTTTATTACATTTTATTAGTGCATGTAAATATTATATGATGATGAGATTTATTTTGGGAAGATGGCACACGCACTAAAAGGTTGCAGGTTTTTGTTTTTTTCAATGGAAAAATTGAGCCCAGGACCTTGCACGTGCTAGGCAAGTGATCTGCCACAGAGCTACACCCTGGTCCCCCTTGACTGTTAAAAGTAAAATTAGTTTTTTGTTTTTGTACCAGGAGTCGAACTTAGGACCTCATGCTTGCCAGGCAGGCACTGCACCACTGAGCTATATCCCCTGCAAAATGCTAATTTTCTTTTCCGGTACCGGGAATCAAATTCAGGACTTCATGCTTGCCAGGCAGGAGCTGTGCCACTGAGCTATATCCCTGGCCCCTTGTTTTTTGTTTCAAAATCAAAGATAATTTCTAGTGCCTGGGCATTTGGACAAAAATGAAATTTTTCTCTCCAAATTCAGAGATGACTTGCCTGTTTCTAAGTTAGTTTTAATGCAAAAATAGCCTTATAATTACAAACATTGCAGTACAGAAGAGTTTCACAGTAGGGCTTTCACTTTGCTTATGAAAGGACATTGTAAAGATGTAGTTAAGGGGGCTGGGGATTTAACTCAGCAGCACAGCACCTGCCTGGCAAGCACAAGGTCCTGAGTTCGATTCCCGGTACCGGAACCCCCCCCCACCAAAAAAAGATGTACTTATGGTGCTCATATGGGAAAAGATAGCGTAAGTCACTGATGGCTGTGCCAGGGCTGCTATTACAAAATGCCACAGATGAAATGACTTACACAGAAATTTACTGTCTCACAATTGAGCAGTGGGGCAAGAAATTCAAGATCAAGGAGTCTGCAGAGTTGGTTCCTTCAAGGACTGTGAGGAAGAATGTGTTCATACCAGTCTCCTGCTGTTTGGTAGTTTGCCATCAGTCTTTTTGGCAATCTTTGGCTTCTGCTATGTCACCCCAGTGCCTGCCATCAGCTTCAGATGATGGCCTCCCCATATGCTGTTTCCCTGGAAAAAAACATCAGTCATAGTGGATAAGGGTCCGTCCTGCTTCCTTAACCTACCTAATTACATCTGTAGTGACCCAGTTTCCAAATAAGTTTTGGAGTTAGGATTTCAACATATTAGTTTTGTGTTTCTGTTCTTGTTTTTTGATATTTTGAGACAAGGCCTTGTCATGTAGTCTAGGCTGGCCTCTCTTTTTTTTTTTAATTTATTTTAAAA